CCAAGGAAGCTCATGTCCCAGGGATTACACCTCCATTTCAGTTTGCCTTCTTCTGAATTATTTGGAAGAGCCCCGGAGGAAACAAGTTTCAGCTCATCTATTTCCTTCTTGAGGGCTTTCAGTACACCACCCAGTCAAGTAACAACAGTACATATACACAGAGAGAGAGACAGAGTCCCAAATATTGACATTACTGTGCAATAGGCCAGTCACCCGCAGATACCAGGCGGAAAGCTGCTGACAGATGCTGCAGTATAAACCTCCTAAGAACCTTCAGGTTTGGCGACAAAATCCGCTCTTCTCCAACCACACTGCCTTGATGCTTGGATCTAAACAACGCCCAAAATGAGATTTATTTTTTTCTCACACTGGCTATCTATAGAAGATCCTTTTTTAAGTCTCTGTTGTGCAGCTTCTGAATGTCAGGTCTAGCAAATCAAAACATTTTATTGTAATTTCATATTGTTTACTTTTGCAAGGCAGGATCTTGGCAGAGATGAGCATTTCCTCCAGGGACAAGGAGGATGGGGCTGGGAGGAGGGGAGGACAGAGGGATGGAAGGAAGCATTTTAATGCAGACTTCCTCATTGTCTGCTTTAATAGGGACCCTGGCTAAAATACAAAGGAAGAGGTAACTAAGAAGACCTTGGCTACAAATTTAGAGACACCAGAGAATGGGTGTGAGGATGCACCAGGGTCAGCTTACACAGGCAGTGACAACAGATCAGGGATGCAGCATGGCACCAGGAAAATGTCACCAGTCCCAGCCCACCCACCACTGCTCCCTCAGCAGGGTTGGGAAGGATGCTGGGGGTCCCCTCTAAACAGGCACAGTCCAAAGGGCTGTGGCCAAGAAGGCACAGGGAAGGACAACCTCACCCGGGCTGTCCCCACTGTGCTCCCAGCACCCTGCAGAGCCAGTGCGTCCTCCCATCCAGACACTCCCGGCTCCTTCTGCAGACCCTCCTCCTTCCTCCACAGCCCCAAACTGCAGGCAGGTCACTCTCCAAGGAAGATGGTACCATCAGAGCATTTATTTCTTCATGAGAACCCTCACACTATTCCAGGATGGAGAGGAATGGGAGGCTCCTCGCACTCCTTTTGGACAGGGACACTGGAAAGCACCAGTGATTCCACCACAGGTGTCATTTTTCACTGCACATTTCCAGGGAGATTTCACGCACAACCTTCAAACCTTTGGGGAAGGAATATTTAAGTTGATTAGAGCTGATTTAAGAGCTCTAGGTTTGGGGAATAATGTCACATTCACACCCCTCACATGTACATGAGCCTACTGCTGAAGCAATAGTCCTCCAAGGAACCTGCAGGAGAGATGGATGATGCCAGGGCAGCAGTATGGTTAAAAGGAATTTAATTACTTTGGTTTGTCCTAGACTGTCCATACTGGAGACGCAGACCTTCTCACCTTCTTTAATCCCAGCTTCTTTGGGCTGCTTCACACAAAACAAAGTCCCAGGGCCAGACCCATGGAAGGAGCCTGATGCCTTGAAGTTATGACTCACCCCGTCTCTGGCACCACATTCAGTCGCAGGCAGATGGGAAGAAGCAGGCAACAGCTCCCTGCTCCCACTGGGTGCCTGGCAAACCTCAGCAGAGTCAAACTGCTCTCTGCTGGGCATAACAAATCTCCCTGTCCTTCGGCATCGCCTCTCTCTCCTTCTGAAGTTTTGTTTTGGTAGAGAGTGGTTCACAAAGACCTTTACACAAACTCACCCTGACAACTGCTTTATTACGTAAAATGATTCACTGGTGTTTAAAAATCCCACAAACAGGAGCCCTCACTGACTTTATGACCGACTTCCCACGAAGGCACCAAGGCCAGCAATGGCTAATGTTCCGTCTGGCATCGACTCCCCGTGAATATCTCTCAGCAATAACAACTGATAGCAGAGCTCGGAGCCTACACATCATCCCCCTGTTTGTACATAAATTCCCTTTAAAAGGATTTCGGCATCCTCACACTGCTTCTTCCCAAGCGTTCAGGCTCTTAAAGCCAAGTCAGCCAGACAGAATGGTGCCACGCAACTACAAACAACATTGGACAATTTTTTATTACAATACATGGCACTATTCTTTCTAAAAGCACTGCCAGTAATACGCAGTGTGTAAGAATATACATTCATTATAAAGAGGTTAGATACTAATTCCTCCAGCTTAATTTTTTCTTAAGGGCACCAGCCCCTTTTTCAATTAAGGCAGGATAATATTATTAATCATAAAAAATTGCTGATGTGTAAAATTGTTTCCTTTCTGGCTAGCATTGGCTGAGAGACATGGGACATGCTGCCTCTGAATTAATCTAACTCAGTGGGAGTATGGAAGCTGTATCATCCTTTTTGGTGACGATTCATGCTGCTCCCAGCCTCAGCTGCACATTCCCCTTTGGGAGCATGTGGACCCATGTGGACCCATCTGGTCCTCCAGGTGCAGGCTGGTAGCAAGAAGCCTATGGATATAGGTTTCCATGGAAGACCATTTCCACTGTCCACTGTGGGGCAAAAAAGCTGGCATGGCTGGGCAGCTCCATGCCAAGAGGGTGCTTTAATGCCTGAGTATTTCCAGGGCACTGTGTTTCAGCACACCCTGAAGAGAAAGATGAGGCTTCTGTCCCCACCCTCGATTTTCTTTGCTAAATTTGTCACTATGGGGCTCTCTGGTGAGATCATCAGTGCTTTCTCTTTAAAGCTTTTCCCCTTCCTCTGCTGCTGAATGAGTTTGCCTAATTACGATTAAGATAACTGTGCGTGTTGCCTTTAGATGGAGACACCAAAAGCAGCATGAAGGAAAGAGAAGAATTAAAGAAACAACCCAAACCCTATAAAATAGTAAGCTATGAAAACAAGACCCCTCCTTGCCCTGTAGCAAGCAAGGGAGACTCCTGGACTGTGACTCGGCAGGATCCAAGAAGATGCTGCTGAGGTGTGGACACGCTAGCATCCTGCAGGAGGACAGCAGCTCCCTGCTGCAGTACACCCTGGTACCCAGCTCCTCACCCTGCCCAAACTGGGGACCTCTCAGATCCCTCCTGGTGCAAGTGCCCCACTCTGCCCCAGGCCAGACCATGAATGTTTTAGGCAGACAGGACTCTGTACCCTGGTCCTGTTCCTGTAGGCAGCTGGCTGTGACCTCCAGGAGCCCTCCCCAGGACACAGGCAGAAGTACCCAAGTGAGGAGCAGGGTTGTTCTAGGTCCCCCTGCGCTAGAGGCAGGAAATGACCCTCTGGCAGGTTTGCTGGGGATGATGGAGCTGGAAGGAGACAGACGGGTTCCTGGCTCCACAAGTGCTGACGTATACTTCAGTGGCACAGATCCAGACAAAACGCCTTGTCTCCAGTCATGTGTCCAACTCTTTTCCCATCTATGGGCAGTTTCCCTTCCACACATCATGAAGTCATATATCCCCTGACTTCTGTTGAGATTTTGCACTCCCCTGCTTACGGGACCTCCCACGAGCAGCTCATGACAGTTATCTCCTTGGCAGTTCAACATTTGCCCATTGCCTGGAGAACTTTCAGCATCACTCCCAACTTTTGTGCCCCCATCATCCTTCTCTTCCCTTCCTGGTTTTGTATCTCTCCTGTTCTGGAAACTGCATCCTCCATAATTTTTCCCTATAGTCACCAATCTTCTCCCAGCAGCCTAATTCCCCTCCTGTTTTTCCCACACATGATCAACTCTGTAACATTATTCCCGTTATCTGTAGCCATGTGTTGTTAGTTTTCTGACATCACCAAATACTTTCTTATCTGAAGCTGGTATTATTTATACACACACATATATAAATGGCCATCTTCCACCATCTTTTTAACTGCTGACCAAGAATAAATCATGCAAAGAGAACAGACCAGACATTGGGACCACCTTGGGGAATGCCCCATCCCCCAGTTATTGCCTCCTGGCAAATACTACACCAAGAGGAGCATTCACTGTGAAGTCTGAGGAGGCAAATCACATAAACAGAAATTGTGAGTTTCAGCCAAAAAACTCCTTTCTGACAAGAGTCACTGCTATTTGTATGACTACTCTCATTAGGATCAATGAGAACTGGAAAAATCTGCAGGACAGAGTCTGCGTGTGTCTCTCCTGGCTGAGATGTTCAGCTGTATTTTTCCTTGTGAAAAGGAAAACTAACCCTGTACCATCAAAGCAATAAACATAGTGAGATTATTGGTCAGCAACTCAATGGATACTACTTTCAACAGCACTATAGTTAGTAAGTACTCATTGACAGTGATTGCTACAAACAACTGAACTACCAGAGAGAGATTTTCATGTTATCTGTGCCCATACATACATAAAAACACCAGTTTGTACAAATCCAAGGTATGTGAAGTTAAAGCTAATGGGCTAGCTTTGTTGAGCATCTCAAAAATCAAATTAACTGCAATCAAATTCATGGCACAATGCAGGGTTCATTTCATTACTATCAGAAAATCCAATCTCTGAAATCTTACAATATTAAGCTAAAGCAATGATCTTTCTGTTAAAGTTCTCTCTTTTTTCATTTTATGGTGAGAAAAAGCTGGTGGGTCTAGGTAAGGTGGGGGTGAGGATTCCCAACAGATACTTGTAAAAGCTTGGCAAACATTCAAACGGTTACTGTTATATAAGGGAAAGAAAAAAACCCCAAACATCCTTTCAAATGCACACTAAAATATATTTTGCAGTATAAATTCTATCTCTTCCATTTATTTCTACACCATGCCTTTTCTTGCAAAGATTAAGAATATACACACATGCATATATAGGCATACACACATTTAAATTCAAAATACAAATCCATTAGGGAGATACTTAAATCTGCTCATTGCTGCAATAACTAATCATCTTATCTCTGTGTCGTACTGTAGGTGGGAGAGTCAGAAGTTCATTGCATTAAATGCAGGCATTCTCCTTGTTTTAATGAAGCTGTCTTTCTGGTTTATTTTACAATAAGCACTCTTTAACCTTACTGCAAGACCTAGCTGTAGAATACTCACTGCAATTTCAGTCTCCTTTTTTATCCCTCCTCTTCAAGGTTCCCAGTTAGGTTTCTCTGCAGGAGTCAAGTGTGGTTTTAATAAGGCAGATGAGGCAGAGCTTCTCAACTGCTTTTGATAGAGGTGAGGTGGTCAGCTATTTATTGACTTTCTGCGGTACTGCAGCTACGGATTGTACAGACAATCTTGCTTTATGAGCATGCACCAGGCAGGAAATGGGCCTGGAAATTTCCAGCCGGCAGTGTTTGATGCACTCTTTGGAAAGCTGCACGATGTGCATATAAAGGAAACGAAGGAGAGCCGTTTTTGTTGTTGTTGTTGTTGTTGTTGTTGCTGCTAACCCATCAGGCTGCAGCCGCTACACGTACCTAGGAAAGCCTGCTCAGGAGCCATTTTAAGAACGACTATATCTCAGGAAAAGGAAAGAAAACAACACTGGTTATTTTGTGCACATTAGAGAGTGCTGTGTATCAAAGATCCTTTTATAAACACTCAGAAAAATCACATGGGAGGTAACTAGCCGCTAAATTATTTTACTGTCCTTTTCTTATGCAGGCAGCCACAGCACATACACACTGTGTACAGTGCACAGCTGCACTGATATACTCACATCCTTACAGGGGGATGTGGAAAAAAGGAAGCAATCAAGGGCTGATATCATGTACTATTAAGGTTTTATTGATACCAGCATGGAGCAACTGCATCACTAATTAATGGATGCACACAAGCTACGCACATCCTTCCAATCAAGTGGCAATAAAACCAGGTAGCCTTCTTCACCTTCATACATATATTACTCAGCTATTTACCCTACCCCTTGTTTTCTTGCACTGCACACCCCCCTTCACTCACCACCCCACACCTACACTAGCAAGGCACATTTTTCTGCTCTGACACTGGGGAGATGCACATTCAAGGCCCCCTCCATGAGCTTCCCACATGGCACCTCTCTGAACCAGCTTTGTAACAACAGACAGGGTCCTAACTACACAGACAGGCAATTTGGAACCCTCCCCCAGAGATGTCTCCACATATGTGGACACAAAAATAACTATTAAAATCGGGTTTGACATCTCTCTGTGCCTCTTCTACTCCCTGCCCAAGGGGGACAATATCATCCTGACCCAGGGGAGTGCAGAGGCGGTGATTGGATCAAAGACGGCAAGAAGGCTCAGACACTTTGGTGATGGCAGCCCTACAAGAGCTGGAACAGATTTCAGCCCCTATGAAAGTGCCACAGAGGCGTAACCACACTCCAGCTCGCACTCAGCTGCAGCAGCATCAGCTGCAGAACCCCTCCTGTCAAGGACCGGCTGAGGAAGGCAGGACCCACCTCCTGCTGAAGCACCACACCTGAGTATGCAGAGCTCCATGGTACTAATCACAATTTTGCATCTTTCAGCTAATTGCAAAGCTCTTGGGAACTCCAAAAATAAAGCTATGCTCACGCAGAGACGAGTTCAAAAACCTTACAGCTACACTGTTACTATTGGAGGATACACTCTTACTGCACGCAAGATTTAACTATATGCTTACCAACTTCAGGGATACATAAGGATTTACTTAACTTTCATTGTACTAGTAATTTGTTTTATAGTGATCTGGATAATATGTCTTGCCTTTTCATGTATAGCACTGAGCTCCTTCCACTGCAGGGTATTACTTGTTACACATAAATGGCATAGGAGGTAGAAATTGAGACAGGCTGGATTTTTAGTTAGTCACCTGAAAAAGATGGACAGTGATGGGCAGATGATATTGCTGCAGTGCTATGTGAGCGCTCCTAAATTTTCACCTGCTAAATAAGCATTAGTGGACAGCTACAAATAGTCCTTAAAGAAGGGTAAAAAAAGGACAATAACCCACAGCACAGAACATTTCCATACTGTGTTCCCACATTTGTTATTTAAAAATGCAGCTATAGGGAACAGGTATCCTGTGAAATAGACTTTTGACTCTCACTGAACATACACTGCTTTAATTCAGACAACCTTGCTGAATTAGAAAGCTAAACACAAGATAAATGTCCACTTTCTCTCCTGAATGCCTGTCTTGAGCAGACACGGTTTTGCTGGGGGCTTAGCTATCTGTGTTTCCTCCCAGTACCCCATCTGCAGTCCCCCAAAGTGTGTTCTTACAGCAGTTCAGCTTGTTTTTCCAAATCAGGTGCTGCTCAGATCGTGAATCTTATGAATTTTCTTTGCAGATGGGAATTAGCGACTGCTTCACTTTAACCCTCTAACTTGGCAGAAGCTGGAGACTGGTCTGGACCCGCTGCCAGTTTGTGCTCTGGGTCTATCCCCAGTAGCAAGAGATGCTCAGGGCTTCTGGACGGTCATATGCAACAACTGATTTCATCGAAATTACATGCAAATTTCATTCTTTAAAGCAGAACTCAGTCAAAGAATTAATGATTTCTTTAATTCTTAAGACCTTTTTTCTGCATGGGTTTAAAATACTCTAAGAGAAGAAAAAGACTGGCATTGTCTTTCGGCCTTTTGCTGGTGGCAAAGACAATTATTCCTATCATATTCTGCAGGGGTGCTGTCAAATGCTGTTCCAGGCTATGGGCCAAAACCTACCCCCAGCCCATGTGCTCAGTTCCCACTGGCATCAATGATATCTCCACCATGGACTGACAGTAGTAAATGGGCAGAGATGTGCTGGCTGCTCAAATAGCACGATCTATGTGCTGAATAATTCATTTTAAACTGTTGCACAGATGTCAAAATGTTATTGCTGATTTCTAGCCAGCAGAATGGGCGTTACTTCTCCTGATATGAGTGTGTCACTGCCTACAATGCTAGAGAAGATTTGGGGGATGTCTCAGCAACACAGCAAAGCCCACACATGGCATGCCTGTGAACATATAATTCAAATGTTCACTATAGGCCACCTTTCACTCTCCTTATTAGGATTCTCCTGTGGATGCACTCACCCATTGCCTCCAAAAAATGTGAGAAAAGCAGCTAAAAACATATGTTGTTACACAGGTTCAAGCATACAGTCTCCAACAATCACTTCAGCCATTTGGATTTTTGCTACAGTTCCACAGAAAAACCCCAAAGTAAAACATCTTAACAGTCACAGATGAGCTTGGATAACAAAGTAAATCCAAACAAACAAAAAGACCCACCATGTCTGTAAAGGGGAATAGACAGATCTATCCTACAGTTTGTCAGCCTGGCCACAGCAAGAACTCCACAGTAGAAGTCAAAGATCTCCTTCCTCTGAAAAATCAAGGAAGAGGAGCTTTCCTGTGTTTCCTCTTTCACTAAACCTGGAACAACCAACCTGCTCAGTACCAAGATTTTGGTAGACTCCAGCTGCTGATGGCCAGCAGACACCTCCAGAGCAAGGTGGGACTCCTGCAGGCAGGCAGGCTTGGGCGGTATGCAAAGGGTAGCTGAGGGTGACAGAAGAGATGGAAGGGAAATGGGAGAGATGCAAGAAACTCACAGGTTTTGAACTGAGATCAGAGACTGGGGATGTCTGACATAAACCAAAAGAGCACCCCACACCAGCCCAGGAGCTCTATTAGTGATGTGTCAGCTAAAAAGTGCGATTTTCCACACTCCTAGAGGGTTTTTTTCATGTGCGCTGGTCTGTGTGGAAACAGACCTAGGCTTAATGAGGTCTAATTTGTTTTAAATCCATAGGTTTCTTTTTAATAATTAACAGTCCCATCACTCAGCAAAGTCATTCCTTATCCCTGACTACTTGCTATTAGGAATGAAATTTACTGTGAAATACTGTTAAAAGGTGGAAAGCAAGTGACATAATTCAAGTTTTAATTAAAAAAATATATATATCACACAAAGCTGGAGCCATAGAAGGAATAATAACTGAATAAGCAAAAAAAAAAAAAAACCTATCTCAACCCAATGTCTACTCTTTCCAATTACCCACTTTGTTCTTCCATGCTATTTGAATTCTTCTAATTGGTTTCTCTTAATGGATGCCCCGTGCCCAGACCACATCTAAGTTTTTCACTGTAATTCCAGGAACTAGAGAACGTGCTGGCATCATTACCATGAACATTACACACCCTCACACACCAGGGTACAGGAACTACAATTAACACATTAAGAAATAATAACTGCCAAGGGAGCAACGGAAGATAAACAGCATGGAGCTGATGTAGCAAGAATTCTGCTTGGGAAAGGGCTGTCTCTTGGGTAACGGGCAAGGGAGAGGAATCGAAGTGCTGTGCAGCACTACCCATTTACTAAAGAAAACCCCAAAACCAGTTGAACAACTGTTTATACATTAATTTCCTGAAATGTAATTTCAACAAAAGTATTGCCAGCTTTAAACTAGTTTTTGAAGGAATCTGAAGGCTCATGTTCACAAAGAAATAATAATCATGTCCCCTTTGAATGTTTAAAATTGGTATATGTTTTTTTGCTATTTGAAAACCTGTCCTGAAGTGCTGCAGGTTTGTTGTTTTCTTGTTCTGCTTTTTTAATAGAAGCCAGAAATACTTATTTCTTTTATTAAGTTATAATAATTATCCTTTTATTAATTTATAATAATTATTTATTATTTTATATGTTAATACATATATATAGAGAGAAACACATATATAAAAAATAATAACAAAATGAACTTTTTTTCCCTGATTGTTGATAGTCATTTTTATAATTGCTTGGGGAATTTTTTTGTTTGCTTGGTTTGCTGGGGTTTTTTTTTAATGAAATTTAAATAATTAAGTTATTTTCCCAAGGATTTTTAATGAAAAAAATTCTTTAGATTCCAGAGTCTTTTATTTAAAGCTTCCAGTCTGAAAATGCTTTGTGTGAGTAGTCCTACAGAAGCTGCATAACTGCAGAAGCTGCAAGAGCATGCCCACTGTTTGGATATCTATTTTCACTCCTGTAACCAACAGAAATCATGAACCACGCTGGTCCTTTTAGAGATTAGTCTTGACTTTAGCTATTACTTTCAGATGGACCAGCTGAAGGCCTTAATTCTTTATTTTTCACCTAGATTACAAGCCGAAGGAACACGATGGCACAGGTGAGGTTTATGAAATGCTTTGTCTCCTGTCTGTCCCACCTTGGGGCTGCACAGTCACAGAAAACCCAACAAAAATATTGCTGTTATAACCCCTTCCCTACATTCAGTCAAATCCCTGTGCAGGAAATGGGAGGCAGAAGAGGCACAAATATAAAGGTAGGATTAGCAGCCCTGCTCAAACCTATCTTTTGGGGAGAGAAGGACGAGTCCCTCTCAGCTGGGGCGATGCCTGTGACCCATGTGGGGCTCGGGCACAGGGTTGCTGTGACAGGCGTGATCCCCCCCGCTGCCCCCGCGCACGGCTCATCAGTCAACTCAGACATTTCAGCAAATCACATGGCACTTTGTAAAAACATAATTGTTTTTATTTTCCAATTTTCCATG